TCAAGGGGGTAATTTTTATTCTTGACTACAATAGCATAAACCCAGAGGGAATCTGTTGACTTCTACAGAATAAGTTCAGCTTTACAACAGGAAGCTGAGGCAAAACGTGGCTGAGCAGCTGCTGCACAGTTCATGGCTGCCAGAGCTTCTTCATCCCCACTGGAGATTCCCGCAGTGAACACAGCTCCTCCTGCTCAACAGGAGAGGAGAAATAAGGCTGGGAAGAAAAGCGAACTGCTTTATACAATGACACCTCTCTTTTTAACAGTCACCTTCTGTCCTTATCCTTCCTCTGCCCACTTCAAATCAAAGAAACCACTCTAAGCAGCTCTCAAAAACACATGAATGGCTTCTGGACTTGACTACACAGTACAAGACCTTCAGCTCACGATTTTGGAAACAAAACAGCGCTCCTTCAGAAAAGCCCCAGAGTAACCCAGCCGACAAAAGCCTAACACCAGTGCACGTATCTTACTGGCGTTACGCCCAAAGCTAGCAATGCTAAAGCCCTCTCGTACCTCGGCGAAGCTTCAGCTCCACCTGCTGAAGTAACTAGGGTCGGAGTCTTCCCCTACCTGGATATCCAGGCGTCCCTGGGAACGGATGGTCCCTTTGCAGGGCATTATGGTGAATTCGGTTGGCTTGACGTGACTTTGAAGTCCCTTTCTCCAGGACGGGCGAGTGTTGTCCGACACCTGATCAAAACTGGTAACGCTGGGCTCACCCTGGCCATCCCCGGGAATGCGCAGGTTGAAAGTCATGGGCACCAGGGAGGTGTTCGTGAGGCAACAGGACAAAGTGCGAGGAAAGCCTAGGACAACAACACAAATGTGGATTTATGCACCGATTATCCTGTGATTCCCTGTGTGAATATCCCGTTCTGATAAAACCGTGCTTGGAGTTTAGCTCTTTTCAATCTGAATTATAGCTGAGAAGCTAAGCAAGGAATTAATCGTCAATTCAGTTCCCTTTTCTGCTGATCACAGGGATTGCTTCCTTGGCAACACCCACTCTCAGCGATGCTGAACACCAGAAGTTTCTCTCTCTCTAACTGAGAAGCCCTCTCCTCTGCCCCAAAACCAGCACCAATTACTTCTGACTTACAAGCGCACACCCCAACAGACCATTTATTCTGAAAATTCAACCCATAAAATTCCCTGTTAACCCTGTGAGCACTCTCACTGTTTTCAATATTGAAAGCAGCATATTGTCAGCAAGGAGCAGCTACAGTAACTGAAAGGATGGGGGGAATCAGGAATTCCAGCACGATGCAGAGCACTGTGATGCAGATCCTCTAGGCAGGATTCTTACGGCACCTCCTGTTTCGGTGCCACCAGACTGAGCACGTGACAATCTGCAGCCTGCTTCACCTGAGGCAAGCCTGATGCTTGCTGAGAACTCAGCAGGAGCCGTGCCTCACCTCACCTAACACAAACAGGGCCATCACATCCGTGCTGCACGCTGGCTTTCATTACTGCCCGCAAAGGCTTGCATCGCTTGAGCTTTAACACTCGCTTTCCGTGACGCCCCAGTGACGGGCCGTTCGCCGAAGACAGGACACCAGCCCACAGCCTGTGCTGTAGCGGACATCTGGCTTGGCTGGCCAGCTCTGCGGGAAGGAGACATCTCCCATGGGCTGCTTACTGAGTGGTATCCGCATACAGACCTCCTAGGATGCACCAACCCACCTGTCCCAGCCCCATCCCACAGTGGAGGGAGAGGTAGGATCCTTGGGAGCAGTTGTCACCTGTCCACTGTCCCACCCTGACCTACCCTGGGTGGCGTTTGGCCATGTGATGATTTTGATGTGCAGAAAGGTCAAGAGGATTGGCTGTCTAGGCTAGAGCTCATCTAAAAGTTATGATGAAAGTGGTGAAAGGTGAGAGATCATGCTCTGAAAAAAGTGAAGCCTTCTGATTTTCATTGTCTCTTTTGGCTTTGGGATTCATACCTCTATGAACCCATGTATTTTCCTAGTTGCAACTTGGATAATATTTTTCTGTCAAAAAAGTTCAGATGTGAAATTATACTTACAATTAGGCAAAATATTTAAAGGGAAATACCTTATTTTATTAAAACAAAAACAAAAAGAAAAAAGAGGAGAAAAGAAAAAGCTAAGTATTTACTTCCTAAAAAATATTTTCCTCGGTTTTCAGCCAGAATGTTTGCCTTTCAAAGGCAGACTCCCTTTTGGTTTGATTTGCATTTGTTAGTTTTTAGATAGACTTTTCAGTGTATCAAACATATGTAAACACTTTCTTCTCGTGTTTTTAGAACAAGTCCAAATATTCCATTCAATACCTTAAGCATCAGACTGGGAAGACTGTTCCCACTTGTCGCTTGTGCTCAGCCTGATTATGGACGTAGCTTTGGCTCTCAGAGATGCCTGCCTGGAGCTCAGTACCTTCCATTGCCTCAGTCTCCAGTGACAGGTAAGCTGGAGCAGTCTTTGGGCTACAGGATTTTACACTCATAGCTGCAGTAAATATCCATGGATAGAAGCAGGGCAAGACATGAACATCTCTGAGGCATTGTTGAGTGCTAGCAGCCTGATCTCCATCACTGAAAAGACCCAGGAAAAATGTCTCTAGAGTCACTGGAAGTGACTTGGAGCATGGGGGATTACCACATCCTCTCTAAGCCATGGTTTAATGTCCAGAGAGTACAGAATTGTTACTACAGCCTAACTCAGTGATCCGGTGCCAGTCCTGCCTCAGAAAAGCAAGGAAAAAAGCAAAGGGAAATTAAGTAGGTTTCACTTGCCCACTTTGCCTGTGGTACCACAAAGTCCTTTAGATTCTCCCAGTGAGCAGCGTGAAATATTCATAATAAACTCCTGGTGCGTGTTTTCACTTATTCCTTACTTGACTGTGGCAACTTCTTAGCTTTCCTTGCTTCTTTTTACCCACCCATACAACAGGTACAATCATTTCTCCTTGTGTTTTTTGTGTCTGTAACACTCAGCCAGCATTTTTGACAGCTCTGAAGAGAGACCAGTATACTTCTTATCTCCCTGGGGCATTGCAAGGCTTTACCAACATCCCTCATAGTTTTGAGATATTTGGAAATTAACTCTAGAAATATGAAGTGCAACAGTGAAATCTTATCAATAGTCTCTAGAATGAACATAGCTTCATTGTATAATGCGGTAGAGTTTAACTGCCGTGTTTCCCTAAAACTCTTCAGACAAACTTTATTTCAGGTTAACATTTAATCAGTAACACAATTTTATTTGGCTCCAAAACATCCACGCTGTTTAGAGCTTTGCTTTCAAAACGTATGATTATTCCGACCAGAAAGGAGAAAGACGCACTCAATGCACAAGATGTCAAACTGAGATTAAACCCACTAAGGTCTACAAAGCCTGCTGCAAAAACGATAACTATCTCTGTCAAAATCCCAAGCAAAAATATGTACGTCAAGTGAGATCGTCGATAAAATATGAATATCAGGGTAAGACTAAGTTGTGGGTTAGTTTCAAAGAATTTTTTTCCTCTGAGATATAAAAATTATCTCAAATCTTACAACCCATTTCTGAACACTGCATTTATAAATTCTGATGACATGTGTAGTTTCCTTCTCTGGCAACCATAACTACAAAAGACCTGTTTATTAAAAAGTATCTGTGCATTTCTGTGGTTCAAGGAGAGATTTGGGGTACTAATTTTTTAATTCTAATTTGTGCGCCTTTCATTACATGTGTGCCCACAAACCTACAGCTTTCTCACACTGGACATATTCATTATGAAAAATGAAAACCTGATGATGGGGCACTGGATTCCAACAGAGACACCATCTGCCACAGTATAATTAAGCTGGTTTTCTGTAAGTGATATGATGGGGATTTCTGTGTGTGAAAGGGCTGTTCTGATCCCCGGAGCTGCGCCTGAGAAACGCAGCACCAGTCGGCGGCAAAGCCGGCTCTTCAGAGCCGACATCACGTACGTTAGTTGCCTCTGATTTGGGCTTATGTCTATCCCTGGTACTTTACGAATAACAGGCGTTAATTATCAGTTACACCACCCCAGCGGTATTTTTTTCTTTTGACAGTCTGAGACCCAAAAGTCCCGTCCTTGCAGAACTGCGCAGACTATTGGAGGGGGAACGCGGATCCCTTTGCTCAACCACCTTCTCGCATCACTGCAAACAACGAGAATTTATCCAGCCTGCCTGGATTTCACCACTTCTAAACACCCCAACCCTTCAGCAGGGTCTGAACGCACACAACTCCCAACGCTGACAGGCTGCTGGACGATTCACTGCGGGGCAAGGAGTATGACTGAACCACAAAAGAAAGCAGCCCCCACGATGTCAAACCTTTCCTGATGCCCGGCTGAAGGAAGCGGCATTGACAGCTGTCACAACCACCGGTCCAACCCAGGCACAAGGAGCAGCAGCCACAAATGCTCATCTCTTGACGGGATGCCGTGCAAGAGCGAGCCAAAAATCACGTACCAAGGCTGCTAGCTCAGAAATAAGGAGCTGAAGCACCGTTTCCATTCCTTCTATTGAAAGTTTAAACCCCTTTCGACCACTTTCAAAATGCCGGCCTTCCTTTCCATAACAGAAAGCTTCAGGTTCCCAGCAACCCTCGGGCATCCTCTGCCATGCTCAGAGAGAGGATCAGACACTTCACAACAGCTGCTTCAAAAGTCATTATCGTTTTAAACTCAAGTTTACCTAACTAAATTTGTTCTAGATTTCAGCTAGCTGAAGCCAGGACACTACGTACAATGTGCTCCTGCCCACATTCTGCTGTCAGTGCTGCTGTTGTGCATGCCTGAACGCAAACAACCCCTTTTAGGAGGTTTTAGCCCAGGAAAGCTTTGCCTCATCCATTTCCAAGCTTGGCAGAAATAAAGACCCTGTGCTCCAGATGCAAGCGGCGCGGAGACTCGCGTCTCTCTGGCTGGGGCTTTTGGCAAAGAGATGCGATGGGCATTTCGCAGACGCCATGGGTCTGGCTTTCAGCACGGTTTCTCACACAGCGCTTGCTTTAGCAGCATTGAGGGATGCCCCTGTGTGCTCCAGAACAAAAGTCCCAACCAAGCAGCAGCTGCTGCTCAGCAAATAACACAGCAGAGTACCAGACCCAGGGATGGTGCTGGGCTGCAGACTGGGCTCGTTATCCCGTCTCACACATCCCTAATTAAGCACTGTATCAGACTCTTCCATTATCACCTGCCTAAGCAGATACCACCCTTCCTCTTCCAGATGTCAGCTGTTGCTCATGCCATCAATCCCTCCCCTCCTTGTCCACATGGCTCAGCTATTACAAGCTCCTTTTCCCAGGAAGGATCCCTGGAGTTTGCAACCCTGTCTGCCCGCAGCCCACCAAGCAGAGTCGCACAAAGGCCCACACCCCCGAGGACTCACCAGTGGGGACCCTTCGCTCCCCAGCACCGCCACACGAGCGATGGTGTCCTGCTCTCCCGTCACCTGGGCTTCCAGTGTCACCGGGACCTGCACTGAGCTGTGAGGCTGGATGATCCCACACGGCTTGGGGCTGGAGTACCGCACGGCAGCACCCTCCGTCTGCTCCTGCGAGGGACAGAATCAAACCCAGCTTCAGAGCCACCTCTGAGGAAACTCTAAACTCCTTGACACCTACCACAACAGCAATTTATACTTTCTTTAAAATCCCTAGGAGAAAGCAGAAAGGCACAAAACAAGGTGCAAGACTTGTATGGGCTTAGCACCCTCACAGGGTCCAAAAGCCGCTGCATGCACAGACACCCACTCCTGTGCTGGCAGCCTCCTTCCAGCAGCTTTCCACGACCCCATGAATTCTGCTGCGTGAAAGCACCCCAAAGACCACAGGATAAACTGCTCCCTAAACTTCATATTCAGGCAGGTTCCTCTTCTCAGCAAACCTCCAGGTGAGAAGAGGAACCTGCCTGAATACAAACCAGCACGGCCTTAGCCAAAACCCTCGATAACATCTGACGGCAGGAGAGGATGCGATGCCAAACCTGCGGAAGAAGCCCGTAGCAGCCTGGAAGATCGCTGTCGTTCACAAGGGTCAGCATCCGCCGACACGGGAACTTCAGAAAGCACCGCCCAAACGTCACAACGGGGTTGAGGACTCTCAGAGGAGGAACTAGGCATCTAGGCGGAGAGATGACCGACAGGGAATTAGAGATACCACACATTGGTCACTGTCCAACAGACATTTAACACCCCCACAGCAGTAAATCGCCTTTAGCTTCTTTTTATTCCTTTGTTCACTGAACCAGACACCAGCTCTCAGCAGGCTGCTTGCTGTGTCCCAAACCAATTTTCCATTTTGGCTGCAACACAGCACAAATCACAGAATCACAGAATGGTCTGGGTTGGAAGTGACCTTAAAGGTCACCTGGTTCCAGCCCCCCTGCCATGAGCAGGGACATCTTCCCCTAGACCAAGTCCACCACTTGCAGGAAAGGAAGGAGAGATGGCCCTTTGGAAATCTCTTACACCTCAAGCACCAAAAAACAGGCCAATAATGCATATAATTACTGTTCCCTTTAGAAGAAGGCTCAGGGCCATGCCTGTCCCTTGAGCACAGGTGCTTCTCAACATGGGCTGCTCTCAAAGCACTGCTCTTCTCATCTCTGGCTGGGCAGAACCAGCTCATTAACGCTTCTCATTTGGAGCCAGAGCCAGCCAAGCGTGTTGCAAGGCAGCGTGCTGGTGCTGGATGCACGAGGAGAGAGGGCGAGCTGCATGGAAAGCGCTGATACCTGGCTGTGAGGAGCAGGGCCAACACCTCCTTGCCAACACCCTCCACGTCCACCACCAGCGCCAGCTCGTAACTCTTCACCGTGTTGGAACACAGGGTGACCTGGTGGGAAGAGAAGAGCATCAAACACCTCAGCGCTCCCAAAACCCATCGTCCACGCGTGCTGTCCTCCGGTTCTCCTTCCACAGCAAGGAAAGAGAGCATTTTGCTCCAGTTCTTCCGCTGGGCCGTGTAAAGAGCGCAGTCTCTGGGAGTAACAAAAGTCTTCTGACAATATCTGCTTCGTTAAATACGCCTGGCGGTTAGCGGGGCCTACGTAAGCTAAATGAAGGCTCAGACTAACGCTGTACTCACTACTCTATTAAAATCAAGGGGGTAATTTTTATTCTTGACTACAATAGCATAAACCCAGAGGGAATCCGTCGACTTCTACAGAGCAAGCTCAGCTTTACAACGGGAAGCTGAGGCGAAACATGGCTGAGCAGCTGCTGCACAGTTCATGGCTGCCAGAGCTTCTTCAGCCCCACTGGAGATCCCCGCAGTGAACACAGCTCCTCCTGCTCAACAGGAGAGGAGAAATAAGGCCGGGAAGAAAAGCAAACTGCGTTATACAATGACATCTCTCTTTTTAACAGCCACCTTCTGTCTTTATCCTTCCTCTGCCCACTTCAAATCAAAGAAACCTAAGCAGCACCACTCTAAGCAGCTCTCAAAAACACATGAATGGCTTCTGGACAAGACCTTCAGCTCATGATTTTGGAAACAAAACAGCGCTCCTTCAGAAAAGCCCCAGAGTAACCCAGCCGACAAAAGCCTAACACCAGTGCACGTATCTTACTGGCGTTACGCCCAAAGCTAGCAATGCTAAAGCCCTCTCGTACCTCGGCGAAGCTTCAGCTCCACCTGCTGAAGTAACTAGGGTCGGAGTCTTCCCCTACCTGGATATCCAGGCGTCCCTGGGAACGGATGGTCCCTTTGCAGGGCATTATGGTGAATTCGGTTGGCTTGACGTGACTTTGAAGTCCCTTTCTCCAGGACGGGCGAGTGTTGTCCGACACCTGATCAAAACTGGTAACGCTGGGCTCACCCTGGCCATCCCCGGGAATGCGCAGGTTGAAAGTCATGGGCACCAGGGAGGTGTTCGTGAGGCAACAGGACAAAGTGCGAGGAAAGCCTAGGACAACAACACAAATGTGGATTTATGCACCGATTATCCTGTGATTCCCTGTGTGAATATCCCGTTCTGATAAAACCGTGCTTGGAGTTTAGCTCTTTTCAATCTGAATTATAGCTGAGAAGCTAAGCAAGGAATTAATCGTCAATTCAGTTCCCTTTTCTGCTGATCACAGGGATTGCTTCCTTGGCAACACCCACTCTCAGCGATGCTGAACACCAGAAGTTTCTCTCTCTCTAACTGAGAAGCCCTCTCCTCTGCCCCAAAACCAGCACCAATTACTTCTGACTTACAAGCGCACACCCCAACAGACCATTTATTCTGAAAATTCAACCCATAAAATTCCCTGTTAACCCTGTGAGCACTCTCACTGTTTTCAATATTGAAAGCAGCATATTGTCAGCAAGGAGCAGCTACAGTAACTGAAAGGATGGGGGGAATCAGGAATTCCAGCACGATGCAGAGCACTGTGATGCAGATCCTCTAGGCAGGATTCTTACGGCACCTCCTGTTTCGGTGCCACCAGACTGAGCACGTGACAATCTGCAGCCTGCTTCACCTGAGGCAAGCCTGATGCTTGCTGAGAACTCAGCAGGAGCCGTGCCTCACCTCACCTAACACAAACAGGGCCATCACATCCGTGCTGCACGCTGGCTTTCATTACTGCCCGCAAAGGCTTGCATCGCTTGAGCTTTAACACTCGCTTTCCGTGACGCCCCAGTGACACAACCAGGTGGGGACGTTCTCCAGAGACAGGACACCAGCCCACAGCCTGTGCTGTAGCGGACATCTGGCTTGGCTGGCCAGCTCTGCGGGAAGGAGACATCTCCCATGGGCTGCTTACTGAGTGGTATCCGCATACAGACCGGGAGGAAAACCAGCTGTGGGCACAGCAGAGAGTTCATCCGTGCCCATCGACAGCGAGCACTGCCCACCTCCAGCAAGGGCCCCGGCAGGGAGGCAGGAGGGGCACAAAAAAGCACAAACACGGACTTCCTGATCCCAAAGGAGACTGCAGTCTCCAGACACAGACAGCAGTCAGCAGCACAGCTCCAAGAAGCAAAAATACAAACAGCTGCCTTCAGCTGAAAGGGCCTTATTGATGAAATCGGATTAAGCAGGATGAATCTCCCATTACATAAACCTATTTCTGCCCAGCGCGTCCCGCGTTGTTTTATTTATTCCGAAGGAAATGAAGCAGCAGCAGAGCGGTGACGGAGGGAGGGGAGGAAGCAGCTCAGGGAAGGCAAGGAGTTCTCTTACAAAGTCCACGAACAGCATGAAGACACAGAGGCATCCCAGGCATAGAATGATGATGACCCTTCAATAAATCCACTACTGATTCCACATCGAAACTTTAGATCATCTCTGCAAAAAGCCTTTTGTGAGACAGACGGAGAGCCAGATTCTGCATCTCAAGGGAGACGCTCTGGATGCTCACCACCGGCTCTGGCAGCAGGGCTGCGCTTTCGGCGGGGAAGGAGCAGGAGCCCATGTCTCTGAGGACATCAGTGCCCGATGCAGAGCTATTGCTCGGACATATTGCCTGGTAGATGATAGCGAGGTGCCCTCACAGCACTAATTAACACCTCACACTAAAGGTCAAGCGGTTAAATGGTGTCCTTGCCTATCAAGAGGAACATTCCCCCAGAGAAGCTACAGGCTAGTAGGTGGCTTAAACCCCCGGGCCCTGCTGGGACAAGGACGTTCAGTCATTCTACTGCCAAGAATTGGGAGGCTGGGGTAGAAGAGAACAAGGGACACCAGAAAATACAGACTTTCCATTCCTTTGGTCCTATTTGATCTTCTGATGGCCCAATAGTGGCTAAGCAGCCCGCAGCCCTGGGTTGAACCCCTCCAAGGCTGCTACCAAGGGACGCAACTGGTCCGTGTTGGGGAAGCAACAGCACT